TCGGGAAATCAAGTGCTTGTCTTGCTCCAGACTATAGCAGGTGCTTTGGGTGCCCCATGTATATTCCCCTAGCCTTTCCATTTCAGTGCCATTTCAAATCTCTGTTGGAAATAGACATTTCAGGCTGGGTGCAGTGGCACATTCCTGTAATACCAGCACTTTGGGAGGCCGAGGCAGGAGGATCACTTGAGCTTAGGAGTTTGAGACCAGCCTGGGCAACATGGCAAAACCCTGTCTTTACAAAAAATGCAAAAATTAGCCAGGCACGGTGGTGTGCACCTGTAGTTCCGGCTACCTGGGAGGCTAAGGTGAAAAGATAGTTTGAATCCAGGAAGTGAAGCCTGCAATGAGCCAAGATACCACCACTGCACTCCAGCCTGGAGCCTGAGTGACAGAGTGAGACCCCGTTGAAAGAAGAAAGAAAGAAAGAGAGGAAGAGAGGAAGAGAGAAAGAGAGAAGAGGGGGGAGGGTGGAGGAGGGAGGGAGGGAGGGAGGGAAAAGAAAGGAAGGAAGGAAGGAAGGAAGGAAGGAAGGAAGGAAGGAAGGAAGGAAAGAAAGAAAGAGAAGGAAGGAAGAAAGAAAGAAAAAGGAAGGAAGGAAGAAGGAAGGAAGGAAGGGTAAACAAAAGGAAGGAAGGAAAGAAGGAAAAAGAAAGAGAAGGAAGGAAGAAAGAGAAAGAAAAAGAAGGAAGGAAGGAAAGAAGAGAAAAGAAAAGAAAAAGAAAGGGTCTATTTCCATCTGCCAGGATTTGCACCTTTTGTCCCAGGACTTTTGGTGGGACTGGGGCTGTCAACCCATGTGTCAGGCTGGACGTTCTAAAGAATTTGTGTCCCCCAACAGCCTTTGGCCAATGACTGACTCCCCTGGCCCCTTTGCCTCTAATGAGGGGTAACTCTGGATGTGTGTTCTACCCAGGCCTCTAGGGTTCCCTAGCAGGGCTAAGCTTGCTAAGGGTACACCTTATTATAGGCTCCATTCTCTCCTGTCTTACTTCCCACTCTCCTCCTAATCATGTTTCCCGGGATCACATCACACAAGAACCACTTGTGCTCAAATCCATGGCCTAGGGCCTGCTTCTGCGAAAATCCAAAATAGGCTCAAACACATTCTTCTAAAACCAAAGCTTAAGTCAGTGTCAACACTTTTTATTTTGTTTTGCTGCCACATTATCCTATTTACTTAGGCGGGATAACAAATGTCTATAACCTCTGAGGCACAGACCCTCCTACCAGGAGCTCCTAATCTGAGGGGAAGCCAATAATAAGCATTTCATGGTTTTCAAAGTGCCTTCTCAGCCATGTGTCCATTTGCTCCTTGGAACCCTGCGGGATTTGCAGGACCACAATTCTTGTTTTGCAAGTGAGTAACACAGAAGCTCAAAGTGAGGCAGTGACTTGGTCCAGGTCCCAGAGCCTATGGCCCTTGGCTGACCCCTTTATTGGCTTATGCCTGTGTCAGCAACATTCAGGTGGTCTCTTTTCACTAAGAATAATTAGAGGATCCCTCCTTTCTCTGTGGGTTCAGCCAGAGCTCCAGTAAAGATACCCATATCTATTGCTTGCTTTCTAAACATTGATGACTTTGGAGGTAGAAGATTAGAAGCACCAAAAAACAAACAGCACTCATCCCCTCAGGGGCTGCTACGTCTATTGCCCTCTCTTGGACTAGAGGCTCTCCCAGTGAGAGCAACGTTTTCCTGACCATGTGGAGGCTCATGAAGTCAAGGCCATTCTTCCCATATCAGACTGTATCCTCCCCCCCAAAAGGGATCCACACAAGGATGATACATGTGAAAAAGGGGAGACTAGTGGGATGGGAGCAGTCAGGGGACACGGAAAAAGGCATCTAATTTAGGACGGGAGATTTCTGGGAGGAAGTAGCATCTAACGGTGAGTTAGCCAGCCCCAGGAGGAAGGGTGTTCCAGGCAGACAGAACAGCATAGGCAAAGGCCTGGAGATGACAGAGAGCATGTGGGTGTTTGAGGAACTGAAATTGTCCCCCTCCTAATCCTGTCTGGGGTGAAAACCCAAGTTCACAGCCTCCTCCCACATTCCTTAGTTCTCCTACTCCTTCCTCCCACCCCTTGCCTCAAGCAGGCTGAAAAGGAACCGGGAAGGACCCCACCCATCTCACAGCTGCACTGCCAGTGCTGAATCCTTCCACTTGTCCCCGAATGGGCCCACCACCCTTCTCCACCCACAGTGGGCCACCTGGCTCTGGAGCTTCCGTCTGGTCTGAGCCAAAAGGAGGCAGTGGTAGAAGACCACAGGATGGGAGGGGAGGGAGGGAGAGGTACTCGTTCTCCTGGCTATCTTCCTGTGGGTTAGCCTCTACCAAAGGCCACAGCCCCAACCTGATTGCTCTCCCCACCACTGCCCTCTCTGGGTTCCAGTAACCCCTTCCTCCCCTTGCCCTGTCAGCCCAGGTAATTTCCATCCTCACCGTTGCTAGCCAGACATAGTGCACTATTTCTTGATTTCCTAAACCCTCACCACACTCTCTTTAAATTACCCATTTTCATTTTTTTATGTCTCCAATGGTGGAAGATCCAAAGGGTAGATGTCAACAGGAGGCAGTTTTTGTTAAAACGTGAGAACATCTTAGGAATCAGAGCTGTCTGGCTGCCTTGCAGGCAATGAGCTCCCCAGAGGTATGCAAGAGAAGCTGGACAGCCTCATGTCAAAAATGAAATAGAGGTGGGGCGTGGTGACTCCCACCTGTAATCCCAGAACTTTGGGAGGCTGAGGTGGGCAGATTACTTGAGATCAAGAGTTCGAGACCAGACTGGCTAACATGGCAAAATCCTGTTTCTACTAAAAATACAAAAATTAGCTGGATATGGTGGTACGCCTTTAATTCTAGCTACTCAGGAGCCTGAGGCACAAGAATCACTTGAACCTGGAAGGCAGAGGTTGTAGTGAGCTGAGATCACACCACTGCACTCCAGCCTGGGTGATATGTCTCCAAATATAAAGAAATAGGAAGGATTCATTAGGCTTATGAGGGATTTGACTAGGAAATTCTTGAGAGTCCTTTTAATTTACATTCTAGAACCCTAAGATGATTCAATTCTAAGACTTTGGTTCTAAGATTTTATTAGAGCAAAAGACAATCCCTATCTTCAAAGAACTCACAATCTAGCAGATAAGGTGGATAATGGTTACTTTCTTTTTTTAAAAAAAATTTTATTCTTATTTTTTTAATCTTTTTTTTTCATCTAGGACCAGGGTCTGAGACTTTCAGAAACTGTCATAAACAGTCCTACAGAGTAAATACAAGGCCATGGGCAGGATATGAGAAGGAACCCTGACTGAGCCAGGGCTGTTTCCTCATGGCTCGTCTCAAGAACCATTTGTATCAGAGTCATTTGGGAAACTTGTTTTAAAATGCTGATTTCTGGGCTCCACTCCAGATTTCCTGAATTAGAACCTTTGGAGTGGAACTCAACAGTCTATTTACCAAAACAAGCTCCCCAGGTGATTCTTAGGCAGATTGAAAACTGAGGTTGCAGGACAGGCACAGTGGTTCATGCTGTAATCCCAGCACTTTGGGAGGTGGAGGTGGGCAGATCACTTGAGCCCAGGAGTTTGAGATAGCCTGGGCAACATGGCAAAACCCAGTCTCTATAAAAAATACAAAAATTAGCTGGGCATGGTGGTGTGTCCCAGCTACTCAGGAGACTGAGGCAGGAGGATCACCTGAGCCCAGGAGTTCAGGGCTGCAGTGAGCCATAATCACTCCACTGCATTCCAGCCTAGGAATGAGCCTAGCAACCCTGATCTCAAAAAAAAAGGAAGAAAGGAAGGAAGAGAGAGAGAGAGAGAGAAGGGAAGAGAAGAGAAGAGAAGAGAAGAGAAGAGAAGAGAAGAGAAGAGAAGAGAAGAGAAGAAAAGAGAAAGAGAAAGAGAAAGAAAATTGAGATTGCATCCTTAGGTGGTCAGGATGACTTCTCTGAGAGGTGATCTCCAGACTGAGAAAAAGGAATAGTTGGTTCAAAACATGTAATCATAGAATACGGAACTAACATGTTTTGATGAAGATTAGCAATTTTGTACAATATAGCCACCTTGTAGCAGGTCTAAAAAGGATAGCACTTCTAAGATATATTCTGAGATTCTGTAATTGAGGGTATGTGCCTCAGTTATCCTGAAGCAGACCTTTGCAAGGGCCTGAGGCTGTTATTAATTATTCTAAGGCAGTGAGCTGGTAAAAGGGTGCCCCACAGGGTTCCTGGGAGACCGTTCCCTGCAACTGTCCCTTCCTCTGCCATCACTAGCCTCCTGGCTCTTATTCTCCAGCTGTCCCTGGCTGCCCCTGTTCTCTGAAGCCTGCAATGTCACCAGCAAGGAAACAACAGTTAGAGCGAGGGCATGGTGGTGGGAAAATAAGCTGTTCTGGGGCAGAGATGAGTAAGGTGCCCAAACACAAGTTGGTCAGGCACTGTCAGGATCTTTTGGGGCTTGGTGGGAGGAAACATCTGCTGGTGCTAAGCAGAGAGAGAGGGATGTGTAGTGGATTTTGGGTCTGGGCTCTGCCACCTGGGCACGTCTCTTCTCCCACTGGGCCTTCTGCATCCTGTGTGGAAAATAGCGTTTTTGGAAGAATCAGATTATTTCGCTGTTAACCCTCTGGTTTTGGTACTTCGGACTCAAAGGTCTCATCTGATCCCAGCCATAAGCCTGTGAAGAATGCAGGCAGGAACTGTACCAACTTTACAGCGAGGCCAAGGCCCGGTGAGGAGCAGCGACTCGCCCACAGCCACACTGCCACACTGGAGCAAAGCCCCCTCCTGGTGATCGGCCTCGTGCTGGGCTTGCTGAGGCCCAGCGGAGCGAGAGGCTTTTGGTCTCTGGGCCAGGAAACAGGCGCTGCAGGGGACGGAAGAGTCGGAGCCCACAGCTGGGGGAGGGCAAGGAGCTGGGCGGAGGCACCCAAGGCCAGCCCGGGGAGAAGTGGGTGTGCTGGAGCCCGGGCGGGGCCAGGGGAGGGGACTCCCGGGGGAGGGAAAACGGAGCCGCACGCGGGTGGCAACGCGGAGCCAGAGGGCACTCTGGGCAGCGCTGGGCGCCCGCAGAGTGGACCAGGGCTGGTGGAGCGCACAGGATCACAGCGTCCCGGCCACCCTCGGTCAGAGGGTCCTGTATCCAGCGAGCAAACGGGAGCCCCGGAGCCTCGCGGAGAGGCAGGTAAGGCACCCATCGAGCTGGGAAGGCTGAGCTGCAGCCTGGGGTAGAAATGAAGGGTCTTCCCTCCTCCCTTCCAAGGGCCACAGCGTGCTCTCGGTGAGACTGTGGACCCGAGGTAGGTGTGGGGGGCGCTGCACGTACCGAGCCAGTTCCCCCTGACCCTCCCCAATCCTCCCAAGCACAGTGATCCCAGAGCAGCAAGTGGGAAAGGGGAGCTGGGCTCTGCGCGCCCCGCCTGGAATCTGTGGGGACTTGCGCCGGCACTCCCAGCCCTCAAGACGGTGACAAGAAAAGTTCCTCCACACTCACAGACAGGCAAGCGAACATCTGCAGCTGGCAGCCAGTGTACGAGCAGAAACGACACTTCAGGATGCAGTGCAGTCTTATTTGGCCGGAGCCACTGGCTCTGCGAAGCTCACTTGCCCATTCCCTCTACCTCACTGTGTCCCTCACCCTTGTCTGACCTAGTCCGGGGAAAGCGGGCGACTCCCAAAAGCATCTTCTGCCGCTAGTAACATAGGTTGAATCTGGGAGTCAGGAGACTTGAGTTCTAGTTTACAGGTTGTGTAAACCCGGGCAGTCACCCCTCCACTCTGAGTCTTGTGCTTGCTTTTCCTGGGTCACCATCTGTAAAATGGGCCTCCTGCTCCTGTTGCTTGCATACTCCATGGGACAGGAGGGAAAAGGGGGATTGGACCTGGGAGTCTCTTACCTTGAAAATAAATGAGTTGGCTGGGCACAGTGGCTCATGCCTGTAATCAAGGCACTTCGAGAGGCAGAGGCGGGCAGATCACAAGGTCAGGAGTTCAAGACCAGCCTGGCCAATATGATGAAACCCTGTCTCTACTAAAAATACAAAAATTAGCTGGG